GACAGAATGAACCGTTTGTGACCCATTATGTTCTTGAAATGTGTAGGGTCAAGCGCAAGGGCAAATCCACTGGCAGATCATTTTGAGTAATATCTTAATAGAGATATTTGAAGTATGTTATTTGTCCAATTGCTTATTTCCATATCAGTCTTATAAGTTTGTTAATTTGAATTGTGGACAAATATCTGTTATGCCATATGGTTGGGCCAAAGGCCGTTGGATACAAATGACTGTGCCAAAGGCCGTTTGACATAAATGATTGGGCCAAATGCCGTTTAACATGAATGAATGGGCCAAAGGCCGTTTGACATGAATGATTGGGCCAAAGGCCGTTTGACATGAATGAATGGGCCAAAGGCCGTTTGACACGAATAATTGGGCCAAAGGCCATCGAACAGGAACGATTAGGCCAAAGGCCGTCGGATATGAATGAATTGGGCCCGAGGCCATTTGATGTGTTTGGAACTGTAGTCACTTGACATACATATGTATATATATATACTAGCTAGAAATATGAATTGGGCCCAAGGCCGTCTGACGTAGGTTGTTCTAAATACCGTTCGTGTATCTTCTTTATTTGATATTATTCACTGGGCTTTCGCTCATGCTCATTCATGTGTTTGTAGGTGAGCCAAGGGAGGTCTAAATCCAGCCTCAGTGAAGTTTGTGTGAAACAGTCAAGGTTTTGAAGAGTCAGCCCATACGTCTCACGCACGAGACTTGTTTTCGCCATTTTGCTTTTTTGTTATATTTTGTCATGTTGGCGAGAACTTTGGATTACAGTTGTATTTAGTTTTGATTGGCTGACCATGACTTGAATGATCCTGTTGTGTAAAGCTTATATGTTAACGTTCCTTGATGTGAGTTATTAATGTATGTTTGTGAAATGTTATGGCGTGCCATGTAAGCACAGCTCTATGGACAAAAGTTTGAAATTGCTTCCGTTTGGCCCCCTTTTAACTCTGTTAACACATATCTGATTTGGTTTAAGGTCGTAGGTAATCTCGTGATTACTGGCCGGTTATGTCCTTAACCCATGGGGGAGGGTTCGGGTCATGACAGTGCAAGTATTGTAAAAAAGAATATATGGCAGGCTCTAAGAGTCATTGTAACGCCCCCAAAAAATAATACAATAGATACAACTCAAAACATTTGTAAATAGCTACATAAATCAGAGTAAATATTCCTTTCATTACATAAGATTAATGATACAAAAGAGTTTAACATAAATAAATGCCCTATCGGCTTACACCTTTCCAAGCCTTGACTTGGTTACAACAAAAGAGAGAAAAGCACATACAAATAAAGCCCTTGGGTATACAAAAATATACAATCAAAATAAAGAAGCTTGTGCTCCCAAAAGTCCTTCTAGGTTATTGTCTTGGCGGAGGCATGCCCTCAATATCTGAAAATATTTTTCCCAAATAGGATGAGCCACAGCCCAGTAGGAACAATCTAACACAGTATATGAGGTTTAACGAAGATATAAGTGCAGTGTGCATATACAATGCTAAGGATTAAACATTCACACTTTTATATAGTCATAAAAATACCAAGTCCATATTCCATTTCATTTTCATTCAATTCATTTCAATACATAAGCCCATTTCATTAGTTCTCTAATGACCCAAATGAGACTACAACTCAATGGTTCCACAATTATATCATCAACATACACACATCAAACTGCCATTTTACGGATATTTCATCCGTGAGATCGGCACCCATGTATAAATTTCGGGACTTTCACCCAGGACACTCTGGCCAACTTAATTATAATGGAGTCTATTTCCTTTGTCCTCCCAAACAATGGAGTTCATCCCCTTTCTCCTTCTAAACAATCAATCATACATATGTAATATATTTAAACACATAATCACACGTGGAGTATATCTCATTTTTCCTCCCAAATAATCATACATATACAATGTATTCACAACATGATGATATTCAATGATAATCAACCATGGACTAGTTTCAATTCACCTAATCCACATACAATTTCTACAATAAGCAAAGCTATCCTCCACCGATAGCCCAACACAGATATTTCTAAACAGATATACAATCTCAAGGCAGATAATTTATCGAAAAATTCCAAGGGTGTGAAGCATTATATACTCAATTCCATCATCTATTTCAATACTCACTCAATTCCATGTTTGCAACATCAATTTCAACTATTTATACAAAATAGATATGATAATCAATTTAGGGCAAAAATCCCTATTTTCAAAATACCAATCCAAATACCAAAATCACCCATTTTGACATAACATGACTTCATTTTCAAACCCCATGTTCGTTTCTTTCACATTTCACCCAAACCCTAGGTTTGACTCAAAATACTCCCAAATCCCACCATTGTTACACAACCACAAATAACTAAGTTAAAAATCATAACAAAATGTTAAAAATCCCTACTTAAAAAAGAGAAGATGAGCCAAGCAATGATGGAACTTCACAGATGTCGAAATCCAACTTCAATCAGGTCAAAATGTAAATCTTGAGATGCTCTAACTTTTTAACGAAGGCACTAGGGTAGGGGAACCCACTAGATCAAGGTCAAAATGTAGAGAGAGAGAGAGAGAGAGTATTTTAGAGTGAGAGAGTCAAAATCTAGGTTTTTGGAAAGTTTTAGAGAGAGAGAGAGAGAGAGGAATGAAAAAGTGATATAAAAGGTCACTTTCGTGATCTGATATATGCACAGTCTGCTCGAGCGGAAGAGTTGATGCCCGAGTGTCAGACACAACATTTTGTTCTGCTCGAGCACATATTACACACATCCAGAACTTCTACAGGCAACAGACAACAGACAAACCACTCGAGCGCCCACCCACTCGAGCGTAGGAAACGCCACTCGAGCATGAAAAACACTCCTCCAGTACTTTTGCAGACACACAAAGTACTGAGAGTTTGCAACTCCCGCTCGAGCGCAAGAAGGCCCACTCGAGCGAAGGACCAACATTCTGGGTAGCACAAGGTTTGAAAAAGAAACGACCAACCTGCCCAAACACAACCACAAAAACCCAAAATCCAATTTCAAAGAGATACAAGGGAAAGAAGAGGTAAACAACAATATGAAAACATTAAATCCGCATCCGGGATACCACAAAAGTCGGATCAAAACCGGATCGCTATAACAGAACAAGTAATTTACTAACTCATTTGAAAAATTATACAAAGTATCCATATAGGGATACTCAGGAGCAACAAACATTAGGATTTAATCCTAGAGAAGTTGGTGGGGAGGGTGTTGTTGATATTGTGGCTACATCATTTTCTATAAAAGTTGCTAGGATGTATCTTGTCGAGGTGATAGTAATTGATGAATTGCCTTTTAATTTGTGGATGAGGTTGGTTTTAAGAGGTTTTGTCATGTCATGCAACCCAAGTTCAAGATCCCATCTCGACATACTGTTACTAGGGACATTGTAGACATATACACTAATGAAAAGGAGAGGTTGAAGAAAATTGTGAAGGGGCATAGAATTTGCTTTACCACAGAAATATGGACTTCCATACAAAATTTTTGTTACATGTGTCTAACAACACATTTCATTAATGATGCTTGGAAGTTACAAAAGAGGATCATAAATTTTTGTCAAGTTGAAGACCATAAAAGAGAAACTCTTGGTAAAAAAATTGAGGCACTCTTAAAAGAGTGGGACATTGATGGCTTTTTTTACCTAAACTGTTGATAATGCTAGTTTCAATAATCTAACCATTAGATTCTTGAAACAAATTGTAAAACTGTGGAAGGGAACTGTCGTGGGCCATGACTTTTTACATATGTGTTGTTGTAAGCATATTCTAAATCTCACTGTTAATGATGGATTGAAGGATCTTGAGTCTTGTATAGCGAATGTGAGATATGTGAGCTCTTCTCCAAACCGCCTTGACACTTTTAAAATGTGTGTGGAAAGTTTGAAAATTGAGAGTAAGAGTCTCTTGTGCCTAGATGTGCCAACACGGTGGAATTCCACATATCTTATGTTGGAGGCGTGGAAAAATTTTAGAGTGCTTTTCAAAGAATGGGTGAGGAGGACCACAATTATAAACACTACTTTTTGGATAATAAAGAGGGTGAGAGGAGAGAGATGCCTACAGTTGAGGATTGGGATAATTGCAGGATGTTTTTGAAATTTCTTAAAATGTTCTACAATGCAACAAAGAGATTTTCTGGGTCTTTATTTGTTACTTCAAATACCTTTTACACGGAAATTTTCGTCATTGAAAACATGATTGGACAATGAGATAAAATCAATCTCCTTTTGCATGTTGCGGTTGTGCTTGATCCTCAAAGAAAAATGACATATTTGCAATTTTGTTTTTCAACAATTTTTGGTGAAGATGTGGTAAAGTAAAAGAAATGTTAGACAATGTGAAAAATTGTTTGAGTCAATTGTATGGTCATTATGCCATGCTTGATTGAACAAATGGCATGCCTTCAATGTAAATGAAACAGTAGATATGGTGATAGATGAAAATGATCCACACTCTGTTGTGAACTCTTAATTTAACTCATTTTTGAAGGAGCAATTTTGTAGTAGTGAGAGTACGTCGAAATCGGACAAGTATTTGGGTGATATTGAGAAAGGTAGGAAGAATGCTCAATTTGATATCTTGGAGTGGTGGAAGATTAATGCAACAAAGTATAGAGTATTATCACTTATAGCACAAGTTGTGTTGGTAATGCATGTGTTCCACTGTTGCTTTTGAGTCGGCTTTTAGTATAGGAGGTTGTATACTTGATCCATTTCGTAGTTCACTTGCTCCCAAGATGGTGGAGGTTCTTGTTTGTACACAAAATTGGCTTCGAAGTAACATTCCAATATGCCATTGACAAGCAATAGATGATGTTGAAGAATTTGAACAACAATATGATTCGAGTAATATATACAATTATTTATTCTATTTTAAATTTCATTTATTTTGTATTATTCAAAATTTAGTATCTTCACTTCACATGTTTTTTTTGTCTTATATTTTATGTGTAGTTGTGTCGGAATCAAGTTCATGCTCAAGTCTAAGTCTGGAGAGTAGTTTTATTGAAATTTAATATCATTGGTAAAATACTTCCCTTTTGTTAAATGTTGTTGATGTTTACTTGTTTTAAGTTTAAGACTTTTTAGTGCTTTCCTTATTAAATAATTTTATTTTTTTGTTATGAAGGTTTAGATGGCATATGGTTTGGCTCAAGGAAATGAATGGCTTTATTGCTTCTTTTTAAGTTATTTTCAAAATATGACTATTGGTTGAAACTTTTTTGGATGACTGTAATATTTTATTTTGGATAATTGTATTACGACATTTTAAATTTTTTGGATGACTATAATATTTTATTTTAGATGATTGTAATACTTTATTTTGGATGGTTGTATGTTGAAAATTTGACCACTGCACAGTTTACTAGCCTAATGCCAAAAATTTGACCATTGTATGTCGAAAATTTGACCACTACACTAATTTTTTGAGGTCATGGGTTGGTTTTATTTTATAATCTTTTGGTAGTTTATATATGAATTGCACATAGGTGATGATTGAGGAAGGAAGTGCACATGTTTTTTTTTTTTTTTTTTTTTTTTTTTTTTTGAGGAAGTGCACATGTTGAATTATGTTGAAAATTTGTAAAATTTTAAAACGCTAAACCGATTCGCATCAATTCGCCAATCCACTCAATCCGTATCCGCCGGATTGGCGGATAGATGGCGGATTAGAGGTTCTGTGGTCGCAACCGACCCGCGGCCACCCCTAACTGCCTCTATGGGTTTTTGGTTGATATGACCAAACTATCTCAATCTATTCTCTCTCAACTTATCTTCTATCGGTACTATTCCTATCCATTCTCGAATATACTCATTCCTAGCTCTATCTTTTCTAGTCTTGCTACACATTCACCTTAGCATTCTCATCTCAACAACACTCATCGTATTTACATGTTGTTTCTTAGTTATCTAACATTTCGACCAATACAACATCGTTGGTCTAATAGTCGTTCTATAGAACTTCCCTTTTAGTCAAGTGTGTACTCGTTTATCGCATAGTACCCCAGACGCACTCCACCATTTAAGCCACCTTGCCTTAATTTTATGGACCACATCTGCTCCAATCTCCCAACCGCTATGATAATCGATTCTAAATAACGAAAATGTTCACTTTTAGGTAGTTCGTAATTCTTAGTTTTTAATCTTCACTTCTCCTTTACTTCCATTGTTACTGTTACTAAAATTACATTCCATGTACTCTGCCTTAGTTTTGTTTATCCTAAATCCTTTAGATTCAAGTGCTTCTCTCCAACTCTCCAACTTAGTGTTAACTTCTTCTCTAGTCTCATCCACTAACATGATATCATCTGCAAAAAGTATACACTATGGCACATCATCCTGAATATTTCTCATTAACTCATCCATAACTAAAGCAAAAAGATACAGACTTAAGGCTGATCCTTAGTGTAACCCTACAGTAATTAGAAATTTACTTGTCTCTCCAGCAGGTAATCTAATAGTGGTCACCGCACCTTCATATATATCTTTAATCACATCAATGTAACCTTTTGTCACCCCTTTCTTTTTTAACACCCACCATATTATATCCCGAGGCACTCTATCATGTGCTTTCTCAAGATCAATAAAAATCATATGAATGTCTGTTTTTTTTTCTCTATACTTTTTTATTACTCTCCTCAAAAGATAGATCGCTTCCATTGTTGACCTACCAAGAATAAACCCAAATTGATTATTTGACACCTCTGTTATATCTCGCAATTAACGTTCCATCACTCTCTCCCACACTTTCATTATATGACACATTAGCTGGATTCCTCTATAATTATTACAGTTTTGGACATCTCCTTTATTCTTACAGATTGGCACTAAAATACTCTTCCTCTACTCCTCTGGCATTCTCCTAGTCAACAAAATCTTGCTAAATAACCTAGTCAACTAAGTAACCCCCTTCTTACTCCAAACATTTCCAAACTTCAACAGGAATATCCTCAGGTCCTAAAGCCTTATTTGATTTCATCTTCTTAAGTGCAATCTCCACTTCAAAGTTCTTAATCCTACAATAGAACATGTGGTCTTGATTTTCCTTATCATTGCCTACTTCATTTCCTTTTGACCTCTCTCCATGTTCCCCATTTAACAAATTTTCAAAATAGTTTTTTCATATCTCTTTAATCTCTTCATCCTTCACCAGTACCTTAGAGTCATCACTCTTGATGCACTTAACCTAATTAAAATCTTTTGTTCTTTTCTCTCTTTTCTCTTTTTTTAGCAAGTTTGTATATCCTCTTCTCTCTCTTTTCTTACTATCTAGCCTAGTGTATAGGTCATTATAGGCTTTCAACTTAGTCTCTCTCACTACTTTGTTGACCTTCTTATTAGCCAATCTGTAGCTCTTAAAGTTTTCATCAGTTCCATCATTCTGCCACTTTTTAAAACATTTTTTTTTCGTTTTCACTACCGCTTGAACCTTCTCTCTCCACCACAAAGTTTCCCTAGAGTTGGGTCCCTTTTCTTTTGACTCTCCAAGAATTTCCCTTGAGATTCTCCACATACAATTGCCATCGAGTTCCATAAAGTGTTAGCATCATCTTCCAAGTCCCAAGTACCTTCTTTATCCATTCTATTCTTAAATATTTCTAATTTATCGCCTATTAGGTCCCACCATCTCGTCTTACAACGCCCAGTATCCTTTCTAGCTTGGTATTACCCTTTAAAGTATAAATCTAGTACTAAAATCCTGTGTTGAGACGTCAAGCTCTCTCCAGGAATTACCTTACAGTCGTTACATTTTAGACGGTCCACTTTTCTTACTAGAAAGTAGTCTATTTGGCTCCTAATTGACCCCACTATTAAAGGTCATCAAATGCTCCTCTTCTTATGCATAGTATTGGCCACCACCAGGTTAAAAGCTAACGCAAAATCTAAAATACTCTCACCAGTCTTGTTTCTATCACCAAAACCATACACACCATTCACCCTCTCATAACCTAGTTTATCTATTTCTACGTGGCCATTGAAATCACCCCCTATAACTAGGTTTTCTCCTACAAGTATCTCCTGTAACACCTCATCCATTTGGTCCCAAAAATCTCTCTTAGTTTGATCATCTAATTCTACTTGTGGATCGTATACACTAATAACGTTCACTATATTTTCTCCAACAACTAGTTTAACCAACATAATTCTATCACCTTTTCTAATGACCACCACTACATTTTTTACAAGACTCTTGGCAACTATTATTCCTATCCCATTCCTGTGTCTATCTTTGCTACTATAATACAGTTTAAAATCGGTATCTTCTATTTCCCTAGTTTTCTCACCCATCCACTTAGTTTTTTGTACGAAAGTTATACTAATTCTCCTCTTAATCATGACATCTACCAATTCTATCGTCTTACCAATTAAAGTTCATACATTCCATGTAACTACCCTAAACCTATAGTCTTGGATTAGCTTCTTTATCCGCGCTCGTCTAAAAAATGCAGAAAACTTTGTCCATTTTTAATCACACCCAAGCATCTATGCGGCGCCCCTTGCTCACTTTTCGAAACACCCGGAAGCAAGCACAACGCGTCACTTAAGGGGTTACATAGAACGTAATAATTTTTATTTTTAAAAAAAACTAGTAACGACTTTAGATTGTTGTGCGAATTGAACAATAATTTCTCTAAATCAATTTTGCAGAATAATGATATTAAATAAAACAGATTATGAAAATACGTTTTATACAATCTGATAAAATTAAATATATGTAACAGAATACTAAAGAAGAAGATGAAAAAGGAGGTTCAAAAAGTAGCCTATGTGATTGAGCGAGACACATCAAAGAATTTGTCCTAAATTCGTCATGCGCTCCCTCAATCTAAAAGATCACAAACAACTCCAAAATATAACTTAAAAGCTCATAGAGATCTGATACAATGTATAATTGAACCAGATAAATTTGCCAAGTTTGTATCAATTGCTCATAAATATGGAATATAGAAAATATAGTAGAGAGGGAGAGAGAGAGAGAATCAAAAAAACGTTGTATATATTTTTGCTCGAGTTAAAATCCTATTTATGTAGACTCTTTCATGTCTGTTAAAAGACACCCATTCTTTTTTGAAATCAAATACTTGTTTGAAATTCAAATAAATATGACTATTAAAATAAATACACAAATAAATAGATATAATAAAAATATAATAAAATAAAACAAAATAAATATAAATATAAGTAAAATTTTAAAACTTCTAGAAAATTTCCAACAGTTGGTACAACAATTAACCACGACCATAAATTATGTGAACTCAATCATTTCGTAGGTGTGGGATCTCCCGGAAATCCGCTCAATTTGTTCAAACTGTTGACTTGAAACCACAAAACTTGATGATTTTGGGGATAGGTGGCTTGGTGGTAGATTGAAATTAGGCTTGTCAATGGATTGAATTTAATCCGAATCTCACTCAAATGGAATTTGAAAATTTGAATCTATTCACAAAAAATCTAATCTGATAATCCGAATCCATTTTAATCCTTTTATTAAAGGGATTGAATATGCAAAAATCCTATCCAATCTAATAATCCGATGTGATTATTTTTAATTTGAATGAAGAAAACATAAAATGAAAAAAAAAATATCAAATTATATAAAATTTTAGCTCAATAAATAAATAAATGGATCAGATCGAATTATCCGATGGGATATCTAAAATCATCAAATTCGAATCCGGGTGTTCTATAATCAGATTTAGGCTAAACAGATTTGGATTGGATTCAGATTTGTCATAATCGGTCGGATACAAATTTTGACAAATCCACTCCATTTACAGGCCTAAGTGAAATTGGTGGTAGATTCAAAAAATTTCAATCCACCAACAGTGATTCTGTCACTCAAAACCAAACCAAACCAAACCGACCACATACACCCCTAGTGGAGAGGGCACAAGAAGTGAAGCTGAAACCCTTTAAGACTGCAATTATAATGTGGTCTGGGTTTCTTTTCAATCACCCGGCAAAAAACAACATGCCAAACTCTCTACAACTTCAAATTTGCTTCAGACGGGCCAAGACCTAACCTGTTAAACCAGTTACAAATATCTATTCTATTATAAAAAGTGAACACTTGTCACAGTTTTTTTGTTTTTTCAAGAAGATCCTCCATGTTCAAATAAATACCACATCTAATATATGTTTAAAACTGTTTGACAATTTTTTTCATCAAATCGTCAAAAACTTTTAATATAAAATTGCAACCACCACCGCTACACGATTTGAAGTACTAAAAATGGATCAGTGTCCCCGTAGAATAGATGCTTGAACCGACCCCCCCCCCCCCAAACGACACACACCCACACCACACAAATAATAATATGAAAAGAGAAAAAGGAAGAAGGAAGAGCAGCTTGAGAGATACTCACCTTAAAATCACTGTGGTATAGGAGTATTTCGTATTTAAAAGTAAAATATAGATCTTTCAGCATTAACCCCCTCGTGTTTTAGTTGATTATTCAAACTGCATACAAGTTGGGTCAAAAAACTTCTACCTCACTCTTTTTTAAGTGTCATTACGCGGAAAGAGAGAGACCTAACCCGCTCGATGCTCCTGAACCCAGTACTTTCCTGATGTATATACCTTAGACATCTGCAATTGAACTTCAAATTGGGCAACATATGGAAGATTGTCTTGTGTGTTTGGTTCCACATCACACTGAATTTTGCTTGGGATGAAATCTTAAGATCCATCCACCCTATCTTGCAGCGGAACTGAATTTGAAATGGAATCAAATAAAGCACAAACCTTTTTCGGCATCTATTCATCGCGCTCACAAATACAACCCGGAAAGGGATTTGCATAGAAACTCTCTTCTTGCTTTGGGAACTCAGTGACTTCCCTTGGATATGGACCTCCAACTCGGTCTGTGTGAAGCTTCTTCACTTTGGAACTAAATTTCTTCCAAGAGATTTTTCCTTCATCAAATTCATCAACAAGTTTAACGAAATTCATCCTGCATTATTAAAAACAAAATAACCATCTGTGATTACATCTCCATGTATGAGGAGATTGAAAAATCTCCTCTTGGAAGTAGAAACATATACCTAACACTGTTACTCAATTAACTGAAAACAGCCAAGTTAGACACGTTTATGAACACTTCTAAGAAGATGGTGTGTAGTGTCCTAACACCGACACCATACAACATGCATCGGACACTTCTTGATACCTATCGGACACATGTTCAAGCATGTCTTACTATTTTTAAAAATTTTCTAGACTCATACACGTTAGACACTTGGAGAATAAATGTGTCTATCATTTAGACACACGAAACACGTTACAAGTATGAATAAAACAATTTAAATCTAATGACAGAAAAAAATCGATTCTCCTCCTTTAGTGTTTAGAAATTAGTGTTGCACATTATTATCTTTGAATTAAATATTCATACACATGACATATGATTTTTATACATAATACAACATACGACAAATATATAAACCAATATATTTTGTCTCCCATGTGTCATGTCTTACATTTTTTGCAATTTTGTGTTGGCATGTTAGTGGTGTTGTGTCATGTGTCTGTGCGTCTTAGGTGATAGTTAAGAGGACGGTAGACAAAAATTACCTATCCGGAACGATAGTTTTCTTGAAATCCTCGAAGCGCCTATGACCTTGAACAGCCTTTGCCATATTCCCATCATAGGTATAAACGAAAACATCACTCTGAAGGGCAACAACATAGTCCAGACCTGCTAGCATGTTCTGGTGATTCTGGAAACGTTTCAATTCGTCCTCGGTTGAAAGAGTCGAATGGGTGAAGATATTTGGGAAGTCTTCGGTGAGATGTTGCATACTTCCATTCCCATAAGCTTCACCGGCTACCAAATAAATCCTAGTGTTGGATGGGAAACCAAGCCCTTTGAGCAAAAGGGAAGTCTCCCTCGGGGTCAATGGACAACCACCAAGCTGCCTCTTGTCTGATCCATTAATCTCCTTTTCCTTCCAATGGCTGACCTCATATCGCATATTACGAAGCTCTTCATCTTCTTCTGCAGTCAAACTATGGCTGCAGCCTGTAAATGCAAGCATATCCTTCTCATACCTACAAGGAGAAGAGATAATGAATTATTAAAATAAATGAGGAACAAAAACACCGCCTAACGGTCTGTTTGTTTCTGTGGAAATTTTTTTGGAAAGATTACCAATAAATCCTATTTTGCTCTTAAGATTACTATTGAATCCTATCAAATTTCAATAGAGACAACTAAGTTCTATTTGTCATAAAATATTCCCAAAAGGTTCATTTCTCTATAATGATATAACTTATCCTAATTTTACCCCTCATTTAATATGAACAATTTCATAAATATCTTTTATCTAAGTAAAATCATAAATCATAATAATACAATTACCAAAAAGTTCTATTTTGTTTTAAAAATTACTATTAAGTTATATTAAATTTCAATATTAATAAATAATTCATATTTCTATTTTATTTTATAAATTGTTATAAAAAGTTTCAATTATTCAAAATAACATATTTTATTTTTCTCATTAAAATATGAACCAAAATTCTCATACATAATTTATTTTATATAAAATTTTATAATAAAACTATTTTTAATTGTTGAAATTAAATAAATTTTCATAAACAAAAGTGTAAATATAAGATTCATCAACTATATAGAGAAATATTTTTGTCCTAGTATTATTTTCATAACCTTTTGAAATTTTAATAGAATTTAGCCCTTTTAGATTGTTTACACTAAAATAAAATAAAAAAAAATAATAAAAAAAAATCATATTTGAAATAACAAAAAATGTTGCATTGTACACTATAAGCTTCTGTTTACACTAAAAAAATTCATAATTTGAAAGAAGAAAATGATACATTTTATAGTATAAATGTTTTGATCCAATTAATTGTTATTTATGATTTTTTAATATAATATTAATAATTTATATAATTAAAAATTTTAATTTTAATTAAGTTAAAATTATTTATAAAATTATTATTCATATAAAAAGAAAAGAGTAAAATTGGGATAAGATATACAATTATGGAAGAATAAACTTTTTGAGAATGTTTTTTGACTAGTTGTCCATATTGAAACTTAATAGGACTCAATAATAATCTTGAGAGTAAAATAGGACTTATTGGTATTTTTCCTAAACATTTTTTTATGGAAAACTTTGTCCATGAATTTTTAATTTTTTTTTTCCACGCAGAAAATATTTTCCTATCTTTGGTTGCATCTTTGAAACTAATTTACTAATTATTAACTTATTATATTAGTGGTGGTCTATGAAGCATGGGTACTTCGAAAAACATGTTGTACCTGTACCAGGTACTTACCAGCGTATGATACCTAATATGATATTTCGTATACGTACCGGGTACACGAAACACATACTTAAATTTTTTCTTCTTAATTTTTGGCGTACCCAGATATACCTAATATATACCCAAGCCACACCATACCTTAGTTGAAATAATATTTTCTTCTACTACAAGAATAAAACTCTTTTCACTAGACTTCTTTTTTATTTTTAGTTTTATGCTTAGCATGATTTTAAAATTAAACTATGATTTGTAAGTTATTTAATATATTGACATTTAATTTTGATTTAGACCTTTACTTTTGGCATTAAATTTTAATTATAGGTTGAATCTTAACAAATTAAACCATTTAATTAATTTTTGCATTACTCTTAATTAAAAATAAATATTTTTTTACAAGCGTACCAAGCCGTACTTGTACCCTTTTTTTTTTTTGAATTTTACCGTATTGACATACCCGTATTGTACCAATACCAATACTCGTACCTGTATCCGTGCTTCATGGGTGGTGGTGGGATGGTACTACTAGTGGCGGCAGTGGGGTAGAGATGGTGTTGGTGTTAGTGGCATGGTGGAGGTGGTGGTGGGTTTGTTTGTAGGAGTGGTGGTGGTGGGGTAATGATGGTGTTGGTGGGTTGGTGGTAGTGGGGATGTGGAGGTGGTTTGGTGGGATTGGTGGTATCCGGGTGGTGTTGGTGTTGGTGTTGGTGGGGTTGTGGAGGTGATGGCAGCAGTATGGTCACATTTGTTAGACTTTAGTCTGTAAATTGTTTTCCGCCTTTTAAAAGTGGGAAACATTTTCTACCAAAATAAACTTGTTTTAGTTGATGTTCGTTTTCCATTTTCCGTTGTACCAAAAGCCAAAAAATACAGAAAATATTTTCCGCCCAAATGAACGGAGCGTAAAATCAAACCAGTTCCTTTGAAAACAAAAATGAAAGCAGCCATGATAACCAATGCGCCTCACCCCCAGGAAAACGAAATGAACATTCCAGTCCCAACAACCCTAATAAATATAAATATCCAAACCTACCTCAGATGCAGAGCAAGATAAGGACTTCCATTTTGTCGCATTCTTGAAACCAAGATCTTTCCAAGTTCTTCTATATGGGATGCATATTTTAGTGCCCTGTAATTTGCACGGCATCTCAGTTTTTGAATGGAATTTCGGATACCATTGTTTGCAAGCCGGGCGTCAGTATGAGTAAAATATAATACTTTGTGCTGCTTCAGAAGTGGGAGGACCTCTGATTTATAATAACTGACCTGAACAAAAGAATAGGAGCTATAGATAAGTGATCATCACAAAAAATAAATGGTTTCAATCCTTCAATGCTGAAGTTTCAAGTACGGCACTACGAGGACTGGACGTGTGGCACATTGAGTGTGTGACCTATGCGTGGAGAGAATTATAACTTATGCCATATATATACTGAGGTGAATCCACATGTCATATTTCTGTTGTAGATATAAAAGGGAATAAGAAATTCATATTAACCTTAGACCAAGATATTGGTGTCTTCTTGAAGGGCTCAATTCCAGCATAGGCTGGTGGTAATGTCTCGACTATGTGGATATCATCCTTGAGTGTCTCAATGAAGTGTTGCCAATCAAACATATCTTTAAAGCCGCTGCAAACAAGAAAATGAAGTGAAAATCATTAGAAAAAAGCAAACACATAGTGCCTACTATCAGAAGCATTCAAGCTGCTTTTAAAAAGTATACTAAGACTGTTTGGAGGACCAAGGATTTGAGAGGGAATTTGTGGAGGGATGGGAAAAGAGAAGGGAAAAGTGAATAAAACTTGATCAAAACACAGCCTATAGGGAAAAGTGCTTCTACTTCATACAATTTTCCCTTCTTTGTTCCTTTCCCTTCGCAAATCCCTCATCAAATCCTTGATCAAAACACACCCTAAAGGTGTCAAACAAATTAACCAGAAAAGCATCCCCATTGCTCAGTTGCATTAAAATCATCAAAGATAAAGGCATATTAGGAAAAATATATAACTCATATACTAAAGTAAGACATCCGTCCATGATGGTTGACGAATGGTGGACGGATGCAGTGTTTATATCCAACAAGATCCCTGTGAGAAATAAGTTCTCTGTTGTACAACACAGCATGTAATTTTTGACAAAACAGTATTCATAGAGGGGAGAGGAAGAAAAGCGAGCAATGGGATTCAGCCTTTAGTGGAAACAAAGATGCTTTACATAATAACATTGATACAATAATCCAAACCCCAAAAAACAAGAACTAAAAAACAAAACAAAACCTTTCATCAGCCCAATAGGAAGTGTGATCAAGTGATGGAAGGACAAGTGTTGCCTTCATTATCTTAGCAACAGCAACCATATCACAGATCTGCACTCTAAAATTATTTGTTTATCAGACTATAATTGACATTAAGGATTAAATTGAAGCCAATTAAAATATCAAATAACACAACAACCAGACCCCAAATCTCATCTGATTCAAGCCACCATTAGCATTTATGAGAAGAAAGCCATTTGTCTTTGCATCCAACTCTGTCAATAGCAGTAAAATCAAGTGAATAGAAATTGACATACGCCCACAAACACAAACAAATTAGAGAAAATTTGTTCAATTGTAAAGAATTCTTACTTTTGTGACTTCTTGGAAGGTCAATGCACTGAGTAAAATTTTCACTGTTGGGTCTGGACCAGATGCCTGAATACTAAAGAATTTGATTTCATAAATGGAGAGAGAAAAAAAAAAACTTTTTTTTTTTAATCAGAACCTAAACTAGTGAATGTCTTTGCAATATAAATTTGGAACTTACATCAACCATAAATGTCTTCAGAGTTCGTTCCACATCACTCCCTTCAAGACCAACATCACTTTCTCTTCTCTTCCCATATTCGTTATCATGAGAGCTTTGATCCAAAGGATCATGATGAAAGGAAGCGTAAGTTATATCCTAATTAGAAGAAGGAAATTAGTTTGATTTGATTAAGCCTTAAAAAACACTAGAAAATAATATCTACTGAATATTCTTCAAACGCTATACATCTTCATGGAATAAATCATATGGTGTAATAGTTGCGGCCAATCAACAACAGTACGCAGTGCATCAGCACAAAAAGGAATCAAATTTCTTGCGATATCCTCATTAAATTAGTGGACTACAAAATTATAGCAATGCTAGAGACCCACAATTTAGACCCTCTAAATTCACCAACAATGATATGGGAAGGGAGTTGGGCCGTATATGATTGAGTGTGTAACAAATAAAAAGTTGATACCAATCATGCCACATAATTGTGGGTCAAATTGTGGGTGTTTTTCTAGGGGTCTCAAACATTTTCCCAAAATTATATACAACTATGCTCACAAGTTTTACATGATCTTGCAAATAAAACTGAATAAAGAATCAGATGTTGCTTTGCCAATCAAATTATATTCATCGGATTGCAAAATAAAAGCATTTTTAGTCCAAAGTTTCAGTGTTTATTAATTTGATCAGGTCAGGACTCCCATCATCTCAATATTTTGGCCTGAAGAGAAATTCACCAGCATAATTGAATTCTACGAGTAAAAGCATGAAGTTAACTCAAAACCATGCTCTACTAATTTCTTTTCATTCTCTTCAAAATGCTATTCCACTTATAAGTGCTAACTTTTTAATTGGATTTCACCAACCATAAGAAGGCAACCAATGATCAACCAAAAAAAAAAAAAAAAGCCCATTTCCCTCACTCATTCTACACAAAGATGCAAAGTAACAAACTTTTATTGCATTATTTTCTTAATAAAAGAATAAAAAAATGAAAAACCATAAAACATTGGTTCTAAAACTATTATCCAATTAATTAGTTGAAAATTCAATCAGGCACATCTAGATTTATACAAAATGAATGTAACAAATTCTTGAAGCCATACAAAATCCCAAATGCAATTACTTGGCACGATCAACTATGTCCATCACATTCACGTTGACGCCATCATTAAATACAGAATTCAAACAAACTTATGAACATCAGAAGCAAATCGAAATTGACAGTTGGATATTTAGCTTGATTTGGATATGTGAACTAACCTGATCAGACCCGACACTTTCAATAGCAGATCCAAACCACCCATTAGCACAAATCTTCAAAACACTGAGAAACAAACACACCCCACAAAACATAAAGAACATCCAATGTCCCAATTTCTTTTTCTCTCTCAACCCAAATCCCAATTCTACGCTACCAACAGATCCAAATCCAATAGGCTTCTTCGCATGAACTCTCTGAGTCACATGATAGTGGGACTGCTTCTTTTCAACTACCGACTCGGACCCATCAACAGAAATGGCGCTATTGGCGAGTTCAGATCTGGGTGAGTTGAGTTGGACGTCGATCTCATGGTGATTGTGATTGTTGCCATTGTTGCTGTTGCTGTTGTTGCGCTTGAAAGAGTGAGCTCGGCGAGTCATTGGGCCAGAGAATCGAGGGCTGTTGACTCGGTGTGGGACGCCATCTGTGGCGGCGTTGTGGTGGTGTTGATTGAAGCCCATAGCATGAGGATGAGGATGATCCTGTGGCGTTGCCTTATTGGGGAATGTGTTGTTCCTTGGATGATAGAAGAATCACCATTAACGGAGGGTATGGTCAGCCACCCAGAACAAAAGGATTGACTTGCCAAACAGACCTTATCTCAAATCCTTGTTGAAAAACAGGCTCAAGGAAGAGGTCACGTATACACAGACAGAAGTACACATACGTCGGTGTTATGTTACAACCAACTATTTCATGGTTAAAAAAAAATACTAGTATATATAGGATATATTTAATAATAATAATTAATATTCTTCCCCTTTAAAAAATTATATATATTTAATAATAATAATTAATATTCGCCCCCTTTAAAAAATGAGACAATTGTTTGACAGTGAGAAAAGGAAAATATAAAATACAATTAAGGGGTAGTTTAGAATTATCTAAATAAATATTTTTTTTATTTTTTTATGAAATATGGGTTGAGTTTGAAGTGATGTGATAGAGAGGTGATGTGACTTAAATAAAATGATGCGACTTAAATAAGATTGTGACTTTTTAACTTTTTTAAAATATGACAAACAAGGTTTAAATGGTTCACTTTTTTTAAAGTTTTGTTTGGCATTGGTTATGATGATCAATTTTTTTATATTACGATTTTTTTAGTTTGGTTTTTTTAAAGGAAAATTAGTCTAAAGTCCCTCCCCCATTTTTAGTAATGGAAGAGATCCACAATATTATTTTTTAATGTCTATGGTCCCTTAACCCACACCTATCTATCACAAAGAAATTTGATGATATATCTCACTCTCTCTATCTCTCTCCTGCTACTTTTCTCTCTCTCTCGTCGCAGAGTTCACTCCAACCTGAACGCAGAGTTCATGTTTCCGGCGCTGGAATGGATACCACTATAACATACGTAGCTCCAACCTGGGCACCATTGCTAGTTGTTCTGGGTAGCGATGGGGACTCAGAAAGAAAACATGCCCAACAAAATCTTGGCATCTATCAAGAGGACGACTAGCGAGGGTGGGACGCTGGAGATGGAGGGACGACGATGGTGCAACTGCGGTTGGCGGGGTAACAACAGCGAAAGAGAGAGAGAAACGAGTGTGGTGCGACGGGTTGGTGAGGGGTGGCAAATGTAGCAGCGGGGTGAGACAGGACGTAGGTGACGGCGAAGCGGCGACGCTCCGGTGACAGCAGCAGGGGCGTCGACGATGGTCGACAATGAGAGATCGATGTCAATAATTGCATACCAATTGCTCTTATGATATTAAACTCTCACATTCTGCAAGAACCATCTTTGTTTGTTTGTTTGTTAATGAACACAGAAAATGTAGCTTCTCAAAATTATATCACCTTGCGGGATAGTTAAGCAAACTTTTCTATTAGTAGTACACATAACACTTGGACCATGGAAATGTTGCAGTGATTACCAAGGTTATGTATCCAGATCATTGAAGCCATCAACCCAAGTGAATTTCTCTGGTTAGGGGGAGATTTTCTCTGGGTTTGAGTAAATTTCTCTGGGTAGAGAAGAAAATTTATCTAGTTTTGAAGAATTTCTCTGAGTTGAGAATTTCTCCGAGTTGAATCCAAAGAAAAGAACCGAATTTTGTCTGAAGAGTGAAGTCTAGAGAAAAATTTCTCTGGAAAGTTCGGATTTTCTCTGAAGAGTGAAGTCCAGAGAAATTTTCAGAATTTCTCTGGATCAGATTTTCTCTGGGGCAAATTTTCTCTGGATCGATGTTAAGGGACCTTAGACATTATGAAAATATTGAGTGTCCTTTATGTTATAAAATCTTAATATTAGGGACCTTAAAAAAAATCCCCCATTTTTTAATTCCATTTAGTTTTTATTTTTGAACTTTTTAAATTTTTCATGAGAAAAAATATAATGATTATGATTTAGATATAACATTTTATCTTATTAATTTATATAGTCTATTTTGTCTTTTTTATATTTTTTAGTCCCAAAATATTTATCAAACGAAGATTAAGGCCTTATTTGTTATAACCTAAAAAAATCAAAAAAATCACTATCTTATTTAATTCACATTATCCTATTTAAGTCACATCACCTCTCTATCACATTACTTCAAATCTAACTCATACCCAACTTATATTTTATAAAAATTAAAAAATATATTTATTTAAATCATCCTAAATCACTCCTAAATTACAAAGGAAGTGGTATGGTACCAGACAATCTATCAATTCATGAAATTTTAATATTGAAAGACAAATTTGTCCTTTCTCCGCTCCCTCTAACGTAAGCTTCTCTTTTTTCTTACTTGTGTGCCATATCAATTAATTGATATATTAATTAGTAGAATAATATTATATCTATCAATTAATATATTAACTAATATATTAATTGATGATATGATATAATTTTAAAAGTTTTAGATATTATAATTTGTATAAGAATAATGTTATGTATATCAATTAATATACTAATTAGTATACTAACAGATGATATAATATAATTTTAGAAGTTTTAAGTATTTGTAATTTGTATAATAGGTGGAGACCAAATTTACTAATATATATTAAGACATTATTACTGAATTCATCCATTATACAAATTAAAAATATCTAAAATTTTTAAATTTATATCACATCATCTATTATTACATTAATTAATATACTAATTTATATAGGGATGGCAATTTCACCCCGGCCCGACGGGGACCCGACCCCCCGACCCCGATCAGAATGGTTTTTCCCTGAAAAATATCCCTGTGGGGACGGGGATGGTATTTAAAATTAAATCCCCGAAGCATTTCGGGCCGGGGACGGGGATAACATTCACAACCCCGGACCCGGCCCGTCCCCGTCCCCGTCCCCGTATCTCCCCGAAGTGATATTACGAATATGCCCCTGTGTATATATATGTGTGTGTTTAGGATTTAATGACACAATCCCAACACAAACAAACACAAGGGCTGCTCTCTCTCTCAATCTCTCAATCTCTCACTGTCGTTCTCTCCACTCCCTCAGACGACCACGTCTCTCATCTCTCTCTCCCTCCCCCTCACTCAAATTTCTCTCCCTCAGACCACGTCTCTCATCATCTAGAACAGATCTAAACCGACCCTCCACCACCACCGCCTCCGTCATCATCATCTAGGTCAGATCTAAACAGATCTGAACAGATCCGCCGATCCTCCACCACCGCCTTCGTCGCCATGGCTTCCTCGTCGCAACACCGCCTCTGTCCGGCCTCCACTGCAGCTCCGTCGCAACACAGCTTGACAAACAGATACAGATCCGCGGTTTTTTTTTTTTTTAAGTTGTTGATAATGATGATATATATATATATATATATATATGCGTTGATGATGATATATATGTGTAATGAAGAATTTGAGATTTTTTTTTTTTTTTTTAAGTTGATGATGATAGATAGATTATACAACAGATTGAAATTTTTAATGATGATGATGCTGATGATAGATTACTAAAACTGAATACAACAGATTGATTTTTTTTTTGTGTTAAAAAAAAATAAAAATGAATAGGTCGGGGAATTTCGGGGTCGGGAAAACCCGATCCCCGATCGGGGCGGGGGCGGGGGGGCTGATGGGGTCCCCGTCGGGGATCGGGGCCGATAGCTCTTCTAATGACCGAACTAAAACTTCATGCCAAAACTTTAGTTTCATTTAGCTGAGCTAGCGAACTATATTAGGTTTGCGCACTACCAAACTAGAAAGCCTTAACCAATGACTGAGCTAAAACTAAACCAGCTCTCTAACTTAGTCAAAACCGAACCAAGAATGTTGCACCTAAGCTTCAACCGGGCTACGAACCTCTCGTTCCACTTAACCGAGCTAAAGTCCTTCGCTTCCACCGAGCTAAGAACGGATAGTAACCCACGTAGCCGAGCTGGGACTCCATTTATTTTGCCTTCGTTTCTTTTAGCACGGTCCAATGATCTGTACAGACCTCACACTTCTAATAATAATAAAAAAACAAAAATTATTTTAATTATTTTTATTTCATTTTATTTTAATAATATTTAATATATAAATTTGACTTTTATAAAATTAATATCATTGAAAAGATGAAGACTATACTTTTATAATGAAATTAATATTAAATATATTTAATAAAAAAATAAAATAAGTAAAAAATAATTACTCTATTTGTTTACATTTTGAAAAATATATATTTTTAAATATAAAAACTGATTTGGTGAAAATATTATATATATATGTTTCTGTACGAGTACGAAATAATCTTTTCGTATAGTCATGTTGATCAAGTTTGCACTCCTCCAAACGTCGTCGCTTTACTCCCTGAAAACACAAACGTGAGCTAGCCGCACGGATGTGTGCTGGATACCTCTCCGATGCCTCAATCAACAAAATAGACAAATAAATAAAAGTTCTGCGTATTCGGGAATCAAAGTTGTGTTACCTGTACATAGGTTATGTTGTGAGCTTTTGTAGGTTCTGCGTGGCACAATCCTAGTAGGACTCTTATTCCTCCATGTAGAGTCTTCCTAGGAATCACACTCTTGAAAGATAATACTTATCCTCCAACACCCCCCTTATTGCTTAAACCAAGTGAGATGGTTTTACCATGGTTGGATGACAGTACGGCCGAGCTAACACTAGCCCCTTATCATACTTAATCCAATGCCTTCACATGCAACACATAACTCGGCTCTCCTTTCAACTGTACCTCGGTTTCGTCTGTTGAGACCGAACTAACCATAGCAAGCTTGGACCGAGCTAACAAGAGCAAGGTCCTAAAGAAAGCCCAAAACATCTCGGCTCCGAATGTTATGACCGGGCTAATTATCACCGCTCTGACCGTGGTGACCGTACCATATATGGACCGAGCTAACTACAAGGTCCTCTTTACTCAGCCCTTTTTACCTCGGTCCATAGAACAACCCATTACCGCGCCTTGGCCTAGCTCGGCCCTAATGCACATAAAAACTCCCTCTTAATTGCCCCTTAATTCCATCTGCATAGCATGATTGGGATTACCTGTTACCAGCCGAGCTAAAACTTTACCCTTTCAACCGAGCTCAATTGTCACCGGGTTACCTATTGGTTCGGTAAAAAAATGTCTTTTCAGTCGCTGCATAACTGAATCGCTTATGATTCTCTTGGACACGTGGCTAGCTTTTATTGGTCTAATACAGCTGCCACGCCGCCTTCGTACTTCACAAAATTTGAACAGTCCCGCCCAAATTTACGCTCTTCACAAAAACCCTACTCTTTGAACCAAAC